GGCGAGTCCGCGCGCTGTGAGGCGCCTTCCCAGCGGCCTCAGCCTCGAGGAGGGCAGGAGGCGGCCGCGGCCGGAGCTCGGTGGCACAGGCGCCTGTCTAGCGAGCACACGGCCCTGAGTTCGATTCCCGGTGCCAAAAAAAAAAGACGGGGAAAGAGGACAGCTGAGAAAGCGCGCCGTGAACAGCAGCGGCCTGGCTTGCGGATTTCCGCGATTGTTACGGGCTCGGGGCAGCGTCAACAGCCCAGAATTGGCCTCCAGGAGCCCCGTGGAAGTGCATTTGGGGCACAAGAGAGCTCCCTGGAGCGTAGGGCGAGATGGCGGACGCTGGTACACTGCGACTGCCAGGGAGAGAGCTCCAGGCAGCGGAGGAGGTGAAGAAGAGCCCTGATGGGCGGACAGGGACCCCCTTTGCAAGATGGCGGAGGACCGAGTGGTAAACGCACGGGGGTAACAGAGGGGTGGACGGACCCTGAACATCAGGGAGAGTGCAGCGGAGCCGTCACCGAAGAGGCTGAGAACTGGCCCTGGTGAGGAAAGGGCGGCAGGCAGGGCATGAGGCGGCCAGACCTGCAGCTCTTGGCATCACGAGGGCATTTGGGCAAGGCAGGTCAGAGTGGGATGAGAACAGAAGACACCAGTATTTACTGGGCCTCTCACTGTTAGGCACCAGACACATCAGAAGTGAGGGACACCAAGGAGGTAGTAGTAAGCTGCCTCAGGGAACTCGTCCTGCCGCTACCTCGGGAAAGTTGGGAAGTGGGTGGTTCAGGGAAGTCTCTGCTTACATCACACAGCGAGTGTGTGTGTGTGTGTGTGTGTGTATGTGCGCGCGTGCGCACGCGCGCGCGCGCGCGCGCCCTGGGGATTAAACCCAGGGCCTTTACACTGAGCTACAGACATCCTTACCCACCCCTCCCTTAAAGTCTGAAACAGGGTCTCACCCAGGCTGTGCTTGAGTTTGGGATCCTCCTGCCTCAGCTTTCCAGAATGCTTAGGATTATAGCTGGTCCACAATGACCAGCTGGAGTTCTCTTTTGAAGATCTGGGGTTCTAGGCACATTCCAATGGCCAAGCCTAGACCTCAGTCCAAACCTATGCAGTAGGTGCTGTTAGTATCCCTATTTTTCAGATGAAGAAATGCAAGCACAGAAAACCAAAACAACTGCTCTAGATCAAACTTGCCCCAGTGAGAGAATCAAGATTTGAAGACAAGCCAGGTGAGTACAATGGCAAATGCCTGTTGTCCCAGCTACTTGAGAACCTAGGCAGGAGGATGGCTTAAGCTCAGAACTTTGAGGCCAGCCTGTCTCAAAAAAGTTAAAAAAAAAAAAAAAAAAGAGGCTCCAGTTCCCGGGTATCATCTGTCACTTTTCTCCTGATGGTGTCCAGGGACAGAAAGGATGAGACGCTCAGGGGTGGCACTGAGATGGACATGCATGTGGTGCCTGGGCTGCGCTGGTCCTGCAGGCGGCGGGAGGTTCCCCTCACATTTCCTGCAGCCTCTCTCGGCACTCTTCACACTGGGCCAGAGGAAAGGTGCCCTCTCATGAATCGCTCAGAAAAGTTGAGAAGGTCACTTGCTCAGGCCCTTAGCTTCCCTAAGGGCAGAGCTCCAGCTACTTGGCCAGAGAGAGGATGAAGGCGGCAGCCACCCCAGGGCCTGCTTTGTTGTAAATAAATCACGTGGCATCCACACGCAGGCAAGAGGAAGTGGCATGGCAAGTGACCCCCTGCATTAGACTGCCCAGGTGTGCTGAGGGTTCTGCAGCTTTGGAGATGCTGGCAGGATGTCCCTGGTTTTTTTTTTTTTTTTCCCCCCCCCCGGTACCGGGAATTGAACTCAGGACTTTGCACTTGCCAGGCAGGTGCTGGGCCACTGAGCTAAATCCCCAGCTCCTGTCCCTGGGTTTGTGAAGGGACCTGTGGGGTACATCTGCCCTGTTGTGGGAGGCGACAGCTAAAGGGCTGGGGCCCGGCCAGAGCCAGTGGAGTTCTCAGTAATGAGGATGATGCCTACAGCAACCACATCTGTTAGTTCCAGAATTGCATGTACTGCTCATCCCTAAATGGTCAGTTTAGCTTTTTTTTGGTGTCGGGGGGTTGGGGGGGGTGGGCGGTGCTGGAAATTGAACTCAGGACTTTGCCACGGAGGTACTGTGCTGCTGAGCTGTATCTCTGGCCTGTTGTTTTTTTTTTTGAGACAAGGTTTCACTACATCCTCAGGTTGGCTGTGAACTAGCGGTGGTGCTCTTGCTTCAGCCTCCTGAGGGCTGGGATTATAGGTGTGCACCACAACACTAGCTCAGTTGGCTTGGTTCTTTGCAGTTTCACTGTGGTGTGAAAGTGATCACATGGAGTAGGGCTAGGGTTAATAGAAACCATACTTCAAATTTTTTTTTCTTTTGGAGACAGGGTCTCACTATGTAGCCCAAGCTGGCCTCGAATTCACAGTGATCCTCCTGCCTCAGCCTCCCAAGTGCTGTGATTATAGGCGTGCCCAACCATGCCAGGCATACTTCGAATTTTGATCTTTTCCTAGACTAGCATTATGCAGTACAGTATGTACTGGGGATTGAATTTACGGCCTTTGTACTGAGCTACATAACTAGCCTTTTTAGTTTTGGGACAGGATTTCAGTAAGTTGCTTAGTTGCCATGCTGGGCTTGAACTTGCAAACCTCTTGCTTTAGCTTCCCAGAGTGCTGAGATTTTAGGCATATGCCACCTCACCTGGCTTTTTTTTTTTTTTTTCTTTTGTCTTTTTGAGATAGGGTCTCACTATGCAGTTCAGGCTGGCCTTGAGCTCACTTTGTAGCCCAGGCTGGTCTTGAACTCACAATGATCCTCCTGCCTCAGTCTCCCGAGTGCTGGAATTACAGGGGTGTGTCACCACTCCCGGCTTTCACCTGGCTAACTTCTGGTATTTTTAATTTCTGATGTGTTTACTGGGATATTTATTGAATATCGGGTAAAATAACCCTTAGTTACTAAAGGCTGATCAGGCCCGCAATCTCCCAAGCGAGTAGACGGTGAAGACTTAAATAAATGAGACAATGGAAATGATTTTAGGGCTGTAGGAGGGACTAACTCTCTTATAGCTTTAATATTCTCTGAGTTTAGCCAAAGACTTTTTTAGGTAGCCCATATTTATTTGGTTTACAAACAAAGGGGGAGGATACTCAAGAAAAAGCGGGAATCTGGGCAAGACTTTTTGAAGTAATACATTATGTTAATTTAGGAGAACTATGTTATCTCTAGGAAGGCCTTCACAGCAGGAGTGAGATGCCTATAGCTACAGTCTCCTTTAAGTTAATTGGGGTTGGAGCCAGACATCCTCAGCTGTGGCCTTTAGACAACTCACAAGTAAACATGGAAAGCCAATTGGTTAATATAAAATCCTGCTCAGAGCCACTTTGTAGTGGTCCCCAACAGATACTACCCATTGTAAGTTGAGCAGCATATTCATACGATTAAAAAGTGCATGTGCCAGGCACGGTGGCGCACACCTGTAATCCCACTCCAGAGGCTGAGGCAGGAGGATCGTTGTGAGTTCAAGACCAGCCTGGGCTACAAAGTGAGCTCAAGTGAGACCCTGTCTCAAAAAGACAAAAAAAAGAAAAAAAAGTGTATGTGCTAGTATGGTGTTGTACACAATTGTAGTTCCAGATATTTGGGAGGCTGAGGCAGGAGGTTCACTTGAATTCAGGAGGGCAGCCTATGCAACACAGTGAGACTCAGTTTCTAGAAAGGAAGGAAGGAAGGGGGAGGGCAAAGGAGGAGAGAAAGAAAGGAAAGGTTCTAGAAGATGGATGTGGTACATCTCTGTAATTGCAGCACTCTGGGAGGTGAGGCAGGAAGAATCCCACGTTTGAGCCTCACCTGGGCAACTCAGCAAGATCTTGTCTCAAAATAAAAAATGGGCCGGGTATGGTGGTGTATGCCTGTAGTCCTGGCACTTGGGAGGCTGAAGCAGGAGGATTGTCTCAAGTTTGAGGCCAGCCTGGGCTATATAGTGAGACCCTGTCTCAAAAATAACAAACCAAACAAAATGGGTTTGATCCTCAGTACATTAAAAAAAACAACCCACTCTTCTGTATAAATCTGATTGGCTGTGAGTAGAGGAGAAGCCTTTCCGGCTATGGGAATCTGCAGGGGCCAAGTCACAGAAGTGGAGAGCTCATATTCAGTGGGCTGGGATCTGCAGAAGCTGGAAGGCAAAGGTGAGCTGCTGGCAGTTTAGTCTAACAAGCATCGGCTTCTGTTTACTTGGTGGGAAACACTTTCCTGGTCTCCTCTTCAGAGGAACAGGGTTTGAAAAGACAGCTGTCCACGCTGCTAAGTTAGTGACCTCCCTTCTTTCGCAAGCTTCCCTACAGGGCAGGAGGGCTGAAGACGAATTGTGAGGTAGGCGGACAAGTCTGCTGGGTTTGTGGAGGAACTCGGTCCCAATGGAAGTCTTTTGAAGACTGGCAGCCTCTGCCCTCTTCTTGCCTGCAGCAGATGTGACCCTGGAACACCCTGTAGCCACGGGAACAAAAGCCTAAATGCTAATAAAGCTGAGTCCCTGATGGCACCACTGCACACTGGAATGGAGGATAGCAGATGCCCAGACACACATCTCAAGTGAAAAACAATCACTGTTTAAATCACTGATTCAAAGCTGGGCATGGTAATGCACACCTGTAATCCCAGCACTTAGGAGGCTGACACAGATCATCCTGAGGGCTGAGGATATAGCTCAGTGGCATAGTGCCTGCCTGGCAAGCATGAGGTCATGAGTTTGATTCCCGGAGCTCAAGGCCAGCCTGGACCACATTGTGAGACCTTGTCTCAAAAAACTAAAAAACATAAAACCAAAACCCAATTGCTTTAGCCAAATGCATCTTTGTTTTACATGGGGCTTGCCCAGTGTTTCATAGGTACTGTATACCTGTTTCCCCACAAACTAACCAGCAAGCAGAACAAGCTCTAATTTTTTTTTTTTTCAGTACTGGGGTTTAAACACAGGGCCTTTGCACTGAGCTGTATCCCAGCCCTTTTTCACTTGGAGACAGCATCTGGCTAGTGTCCGGGTGGGGCTGAAACTTGTGTGCACCACCACGCTTGCTCTAAATGCTTAATATTTCTCCAAGGATTTTATTTTCAAGTATCAGTTACTGACGGACTTTTTCATACTTCCTGCTGCCAAGACCATTCCTAATAACGCTGGTCTATGGTCTCTCACTCCAGAAAACACCCAGGCGCAGCAGCTCTGCACCATCCGAAGCATCTGAGAGGGGCCAGGGGGTGGCTGCTAGTCTGGGGCTTGAGAAAGCGGAAGCTGCAACCCCGGGCCCCAGAAGACACTAACTTCAGGGTAAGTCAGCCTTGTGCTTCTAGAAGGGAATGTCTGAAGTAATTACCACCTAAACAGAGGTTTATTTTGACCTTAAGTTTTGGAAGTCCTTGTCCAAGATTGGGCAGCCCTGTGGCTGCCAGGGCACCAAGTGCTGATTGGGGGGAACCTTAGCAGAGTGAATCACTTACAATCGGCAGAAGAAACATGGGCTGAGGTCCAGCGGGTGCCACAGCCCCCTCTGAGGGCAGTCCACCAATGACCTAAAGACCTCCCTCCTATGGGAGACCAAGGGCTCCAACAGTGCCACCTTGGGGATCTCTGGGGTACACTCTAGGTAATCAAACCACTGCAGGCCTGTGATCCTTCTCTCTCCAGGTCCAAGAGTGCTCGCCACCTCTGCTTTGTGAATCCACTTGGAAAGAACCTACTCTGTGGACAGAGCAGCTGCATTGGGTGTGGTGGCAAACACCTACAATCCCAACACTCTGGGAAGCTGAGGCAGAAGAATAAAGTGTGAGCTGAGCCTGGGTAGCTCAGTGACTTAGTGAGATCCTATCTCAAAAAAAAAAAAAAGTGTAGGGAACATATTTCAGTGCAAAGGGCCTGTGTTAAAGCCCCAGTACTGCAAAAACAGACACCCACAACTGCATTACAGAGCAATGGACACCCTATGTACATCCATCCATGTTTAAATGGAGAAATCTACCAGGTGTGGTGGTGCTTACCTGTGATCCCAGCATGCAGGAGGCTGAGGTAGGAGCATCGCCACCAGTCTGAGGCCAGCCTGGACTGCATAAGCGACTATCTCAAAACAACTCCTCCACAAACCCACAAAAGGCAACAGTTCTCCATTTTTTTTTTTTTTTGTCTTTTTGAGACAGGGTCTCACTATGCAATTCAGGCTGGCTTTGAGCTCACTTTGTAGCCCAGGCTGGTCTCAAACTCTCAACGATTCTCCTGCCTCAGCCTCCCAAGTGCTGGGATTACAGGTGTGCACCACCATGCCTGGCTTGTTTCTCTTAAAGAGCAGAGTGTAAGCAGCTGGGAGTGCTGGTGCAATCCTCCAGCCTCAGCCTCCCGAGTGCTGGGATTACAGGCATGCGCCATCACGCCTGGCTGGTTTGTAGATGATGTCTAGTTAAGTAAAATATTCAGTATGTTTCCTTATTCAAATTTTTGTTTTTGGTTTTTTTGGGGGAGTGGGTTTGTTTTTTTGAGACACGGTCTCACTTTGTAGTTCAGCTTGACCTCTAACTCAAAGTGATCCTCCTGCCTCAGCCTCTCAGTGCTGGGATCACAGGTGTGTGCTACCACACCCTGCTCTCTGAATTATTTGATGTAACTGAATAGTTCAAATGAAGTTCCAGATAAATCACATGCTACCCAAACACTCGCCCCTCTTGTGAGAGTTGAGGACCCACACAGATTCTAGTGTACTGCACTTCCCCATGTGAAGCTGTCTCTAACTGTAAGAGATCCTCTTTCCCAGACACCATCTTAACTGCCAGGAGGGAAGGGGTGCCATTCAGTTTTTTTTTAATTTTTGTTACCAGGAATCGAAATCAGGACCTGGTGCTTGTCAGACAGGTGCTTGTGCCACTGAGCTATATCCCTGGCCCTTGCTCAATTTTTCTAAAGCAGGTTTTTATCAATTTCCTACTTCAAATTAGTGCATCAGCCCAAGTGGCAAGTTTTGGCCATGTCATCCCCATGCACACACCTCTATGCTGGAAGGAGTTTTTAAATTGTTTGCATTTTCAAAGGGTTAACTCTGAACCTAGAATATCTACTAACAGATTCTAAAGCCAGTGCTTGAGGTAGAGGCTGAGCCGGGCCAAAGCAGCACACCTTTTCCACATGGAACTTCTAGAGGGATTTTTGTTGTTGTTTTTGGTTTTCTGGAGACATGGTTTCACTATGTAGTTAGGCTGGCCTTGAACTTGAGGAGATCCTCCTGCCTCAGCCTTGAGTACTAGGATTATAGGTGTGCATCACCATGCCTGGCTTGTCTGGAACTTTTCTTTTTTTTCCCCCCTTTTTACCAACTTTTTTATTTTTGTTTGGAACATCTAAGCAAATGATTCCTATCAGATCAGACATCTCTTTTGAACCCAATCATATGAGCTCTGTGGGCTATTACACACTGTTCAGCCCCTGTAGTCATAACTAAGCATAAAATATGGAAACTCTAGTCTCCTCTCCCCATAGGTCAACTATTTAGGAACTGCTGCTGTTCCTTAAAACTTTAACAGAATCTCATGTGTTAAATAACAGTTGTGAGAAAGGCTGCAAGACTGTCCTGAAGACCCTGTTTTAATTGCTTAGGACACAGATACATCATGTAATCACTCACAATAGTCTGCTGCAGCTTAAAGGACAAGGCTGAAAATGAACTTGTGAATCCTTAATTTTAAGTAAGTATCTTGCAAAAAAGTCAGGAGTAGGGCTGGGGGCATGGCACAAGTGTCTGCCTGGCAAGTGTGAGGTCCTGAGTTTGATTTCCACTACCAAAAAAATCCCCAGAAAACAACAAACAAAATAAAACAAAGCAAAAAACACAGAAAAAAGTCAGGGGTAGAATGGTCTCAAAACAGTGTCTTTACAATTAGTACTCTTCGCCATGTGTCTTTATTCGTTTGCTGTGATACAACTGACAAGGTTGGTAAGTGCGGCCCCAGGTCTTGGGCAGCACTTTTCTGAGAATAAAGCATCACTTTCTCTGCACAGTGGTGAATGCTGGTATCTGGATGGGCTGGATTGGGTGGACAGGCTGGAACACTGGCTTCTTCCTCACTTCTGAGTGTGCTTTCACCGTTGGGAGCAGCTGATTCCTTTTGATGATCTGCAAGGCCAACTGGGTGTTACCTACAAAAACACTTCCGTTAATACCATTAAAAAGCACACGACAGTGCCACCCAAAACAAGTGGCCATCAGAAGCCAGCATGAGAGACCTAAGAGGTGTGCTCTGCAGCGCTGGCCCTGGGCATCACTGGGGCCTCTGCCCCAGCCCTAGACATTCTGATTTAAGTGCTGGAGAGGTGGCTTGGACAGTGAGATATCTTCCAACTTATTTTTCCCCTTAGGGTGCTAGAGATTGAACCTAAGCCATCAAGCATGCCAGGCAAGTGCTCTACCACTGGAGAGCATCCCAATCCCTAACAAGGGAAAGGTATCCCTTCCTCTTGGGTTTCTTTTTCTGAATCCTGCCTATATCTGACACTCCTGGTTCTGGCTGGGAAGAACATAAAAGTTTATTTTATCTTATCTTATTTTTGTTTTTCAGTTTTTCTGAGATAGGGTCTTGCTGTGCCATTCAGGCTGGCCTTGGGCTCACTTTGTAGCCCAGGTTAGTCTCAAACTCATGGCAATCCTCCTGCCTCAGCCTCCTCAGTGCTGGGATTATAGGCGTGTGCCACCATGCCCGGTTATTTTAAAGTTTCAATTTTTTTTTTTTTTTTTGAAGTTTCAATTTTGAAGACAAAAATCAGACAACAAAAATTCTGGCCTCCTTGAAGAGATATAGTGCTCTCCAGAGAACATGACTCACCGTTCTGCAGCTCCAGGTAGACAGCCAGCAAGATGGCCTCAGGTGGGACCTCCTTTGGGTGAATCATGGAAGCCGCCTTATGCAAAAAGAAAGAGATTCATGAAACCCAGCAGCTTAAGATACAAACTCCAAGTAATGACTAAAAACCCTCCCAAAACCTAAAGTTAGTTAAGTAGTTCAACATTTACTTTCTCTTGACTAATCCATACTGTGTTGGATTTTTTTTTTTTCTTTTTGACAGAGGCTTTTGCTATGCAGTTCAGGCTGGCCTTGAGCTCACTTTGTAGCCCAGGCTGACCTTAAACACTGAAGGAACCTCTTGCCTCAGCCTCGTAAGTGCTAGGATTACAGGTGTGTGCCACCACACCCGGTTGAATTGGAGTTTTTTTTGGGCAGTACTAGACACTGAACCCAGGGCCTCACACATGCTAGACAAGTGCTCCACCACTGAGCTACATCTTTAGTTCTATTTATTTTAAGACAGGCTCTTGCTAAGTTGCCCAAACTGGGATCAAACTTGGGATCCTCCTGCCTCAGCTTCTCAGAGTGCTGAGATGACAACAGTATGCCACCATACTGGCTCTACTGAGTTCTTAATAATAGAAAGTTGTTCTTCTCTTGGAGCTCATCAGCTTAGGTTCTTTATTCTGTATTTTGCCTGTATGGACACCCTCATTTTATACTCTAGATACAACTCTGTCTGCTGGTAGCTCTTCACCACCGATATAACTGTATGTATATAAAAATCTGGATGTTGGGCTGGGCATGAGGCTTAGTGAGAGAGTGACTGTCTACCACGTGCAAGGCCATGGATTCAATCCTCAGTACCCCAAGAACAAACAAAGATCTCAGTGTCCACCTGTTTTCCTAAGTAACATCAAGTATTATAAGGTGCAAGCAGTTATCAATGTCAGGAATAAGAGTTTAAACTTTACTTTTCCTGTACTGGAGATTGAAGGTAGGGCCTTTGCACTGAGCTACATCCCAGCATCTCTCCTTTTTTGAAAATTCTGAGACAGGACCAGGCATGGTTGGCACATGCCTGTAATCCCAGCACTTGGGAGGCTGAGACAGGAGGATTGTTGGGAGTTCAAGGCCAGCCTGAACTACACAGTGAGGCCTTGTCTCAAAAAAAAGAAAAAAAATTGAGAAAGGTTTCCCAAAGTCACTTAGTTGCCCAGGCTGGGTTTGAACTTGGGATCCTCCTACCTCAGCCTCCTGAGGGCTGAGATCACAGGTGTGCACTCTGGTCCGACCTGGCTAGATGTCCCCATTTTGTTTTCTGTCCTTTTTTTGAGACAAGGTCTTGTCCTGCAGTTTAGGCTGGCCCTGAGCTCACTTTGTAGCCCAGGTGGGCCTAGAACTCAAAGAGATCCTCCTGCCTCAGCCTACTGAGTGCTGGGATTATAGGCATGTGCCATCACTCATGGCTTCCCATTCTTATGCATGAAACAATTTAATCAAATAAATAACTTATTGGTTTAGGCAACATGCTGCCCTTATATCTAAGCTAATAGCCAGCATTTTTTCTCTGTTGCAATACTAAGGAAAGGAAGCCTGGGCCACTCTGGTCACAGATGTTAAAACTATTTATTCCTTTTTTTTTTGATACCGGGAATCAAACTCAGGACTTTGTGCTTGCCAGGCAGGCGCCTATGCCGCTGAGCTATCTCTCCAGCCCAAAACTATTTATTCCTTAGTCTGGACCTCTTGGGCAGCAGCCTTTTCCTCATCTTACTGTCAACTTGTACTTCCACATCTAGTGTCAGTAGATCACTGCTTCCAGCTACTGACCTTAACATATTCTGCTACTTTCCTTAACATATTTGGAAAACTTTTTTTTTTTGTTTTCTGAGGCTGGATCTTGCTATGTAGTTCAGGCTAGCCTTGCAACTGTGGTGGTCTTCCTGCCTCAGCCTTATAGGTAGCTGGGATTATAAGTGTGTACCACTGTGCTCGGGTAGGTCTGGCTTTATAAGAGAAAAGCATCATTAGAGCATTTTGTGGCTATTAAAATCCTTTTCACCAAGCACGGTGGTACTTACCTATAATTCTAGCTCTCTAGAGGCTGAGGGAGGAAGACTGCCTTGAGTTTGAGGCCAACCTGGGTTATGTAGTAAGTTCGAGGCTAGCCTGGACTACAAAGCAAGGCTATGTCTCAAAAAACAAAACTAAAAAAACCACACAAAATCTCTTTTTCCCCTCGAAGTGGCTAGTTAACACAGGTCATTTACTGTTCTCTGCACTGACTACAGTATGCAGCTTTTTCTAAAACACAGGAATGTAAGGC